CATCGATACTCTCGGAAGACCTCGTGCCGTCGACGTGCCGAAAGACATCGGACGATCTTCGACCCGAGACGCCCGATCGGTCGCGCCGACGAGAGCCCGGTCGGGTGAAGGCGGGCGGCGAACATCCTCACGCTGCGAAAAGCGATTTCGATCGCTTCCCGAAGCATTGCCATCGGCTTCGTACCGAAATAAATGACGCAGCGAAAGCGTTAAACGTGTACAAGCTTCTACCGTGCTCCGGGCATGGACCTCTCGAAGCCTCGTAAAATGAAAGATTGAAACCAGGGAACCCAAAAAAAAAGCTGCCTCGCGCGAGCACCGAAGTGCTTCCGTTCGCTTGCATCTTCCACGTTCACGTCCCCCGCCACACGCGCATTCACCCACATTCACATTCCCTCCATCACGCACATTCTGCACGCGTCCTATCCTCGGTTCTCTATGGTGGTGCAGGGAAGACCGAGGTGGAGGGCTCGAGGAAGATAAGGGTCAACCCTTTTACGCTTCTCGCGCAAAGAGGGGGGGGAAAAAAATGTTCTCCTTCTGGACGGGAGAGAATTCGTTTCTATCTGGAGAAAATCATTCTTTCGTCCTAGCAGAAGTTTCTTAATATTCCAGTTTTCTTTAGCATGGGTGTCTACGGCCATCCTCAAGGGTTCGGTCGGTGTCGATCATTGGGATCTCACCGGTCCGGGGGAGTGGGGTATGCAGATCGAAGCAACAACATCGTCATCATTATTTTAAAAATTAAATAGAAGCTAAAAGCTCGGTGGGCCCCGCACGATGTGGTGGACTGTCACAAAGTATACCCGCCCACCATGGTGAGACCCGCCCGCCACCAGGGCTGGCAGAGTGCAAAACCCTGATGAAGCTAATGACGTAGCCATGGGAAGGTGTCCCATGACTAAGGTGCGACAAGGTGTCACACCAGGGTCCCTCCCATCTAACGTTTTAGCATTTACAACTATTTATCTTTAATGACAGAGATAGGACATTTAAAAAGAAACAACCTGTCTTTAAGTAGGTTAGTTGTGTGGGGCAAATTAATTTTAGGTCCACTTTTACAAAAATAAGTCTAACCAGTTTAGTTTTATTGTTGCGCATTAACAGAGTTGAATAAAATTCATTTTAGATTTACATTTAGAAGAAATGAATTAAGGCCCCAAAAATGAAGGAGGGTTATGGGAGGTGAGAGGGAATTTACTTAACATGAGAAAAGGGGTAGAAGAGAGAGAAATGGGTTTGGATAGGGAGTCAGGAAAAAAATTATAATAAGACAATGCAAAAAGAGAAAGCAACCTAGTAATGAAAATGGCAAAGGAAATTACATAAGAAAAAATTATTTAAAAGAGCGGACAGCAAAAAACCAAAAAATGCTGTCCTGGAAAGCAACAACACATTAACATGAAATGCAACAAAAGCAAAAATAACACAGAGAGGAATACAAGCAAAGAAAATGAAAGGGTGACAGACACAACATGAACACATAATGAAAAACAAATGCAACATACACAAGGAATATTGCATTAAAAAGACCAGTTTCAGCCCCTGTACCCAGTTACTCAAAATAACTAAAATTCTTTAAAACGAAAAAACAAACAACACAAACACAAAAAAGGTAAGATAGAACATTGAAATGCATTACTATACCTTCTTCTGGAGATAGGTGAAGCGCAGATAAGTGGTCCTCATCGAAGGACTCCTCCTGAAGGTCCTGTAGAACGCGACGCCATCTCTCGAACTAAAAAGAAAATAATAATAATATGAAGGGGAAAATCTTCGAAAATGGGAAGGGGTTTAAATTGAATGATGCTGCTAAACCTGTTGTGTTCTTGACGAAACAGGAAGTTCCATTGATGAAGTGAGCCTACTAAATGGATGAAAAAAAGACAAGAGAGCATTAGTTGAAAATGTCATGGGTAAAAAGGCAAAGGGAAAACAACTGCAAGGAAAAAAGTGAAAGTGAACACAACATGAACACAAACAAAAAAAATATAAAAATAACGCAAAACATGTTAAGCCTACGTCCGGTTTCAGCCTCATTTCCCAGTCGCACGAAATATAAAATTAGGCATAAAAAATTAACGTTAAGAACTCAAAAAAGGCAAAAAAAGGAATTGAAAATGAATTAATTAAAAAAAACCTTGCTGGAGACAGGAGGCGTCCGGCGAAGAGGGGGTCCCAAGAGAGGGTCCTCTTGGGATGACTGCTCCTGAAGGTCCTCTTCATCTCGACGTCTTCTCTGGAACTGGGAAAAGAAATAAAATAATGTGATTGAAAGAAAGATGAATTTGGCAATGGGAAGAGAAGAAATTAAACGAAGATGCTGCACCTGTTGTGTTCTTGACGAAACTGGAAGTTCCCTGGATGAAGTGGCCCTACTAAATGGATGAAAGGAGACAAGAAAGCATTAGTTGAAAATGTCAAATGGCAAAAGTTAATGGGAAAAAACTGTTCGGAAAGAAATAAATGATTAAGGGCTGTTAAGATGACGATTAGCATATTAAAAAAATAATGACATGCAAGGCAAAAAGAATAAAATTGGTTAAGGGGAAAAAAATTACAAAACCTTGCTGGAGACAGGAGCAGTCCGGCGAAGAGGGGGGGGGTGGGGTCCTCTTGGGATGGCTGCATCCACGTGATACTTTTGTCCCACCCGTAACTGAAGTTACAGGTCGGACAAACATTGCAGATGTTTAAAATTGGATTAATTTTTAAATATTGCATCATCATATACTTGTTGCATATCGATAGAAAGCTCTTTTAATAACTTGCACTTGATCTCTCACTGCAGGTTGTTTAATACTTGGATAAAGAGATGGAAATCTTGTAGTATGCATAATTTTGGCCATTTGTCAAAAACTTTGTCTCATATCTCTGAAAAGGTTGAACTTAGGATGCTACAATTTTGGATTTTTACTATCATCCACAATGCCAAAACAGCATAAATTTTCAAAATGGAATTCATGACAGTGCTTCGCTGTGTTTTTAAAGAGCTAACAAAAAACATTACGGGTGGGACAATTTTGAGTTGAAATGTCGCCTCTCATATGTACGACGTTGTACAATTTTACGACGCCGTCTCCTATCGTGGCGCAGCAATGCTCATCAGCATGGGCAGTTGTAGTCCTGTACCTAACAGGATGAGCATGCTAGCCATTTGTTACGGGTGGGACAATTATGCTTGGCATTTCCAGGCAAAACCAAAAAACCTTTAATTTTCAAAATTATTTAAGAACTACGATGATTCCAATTATGTGTAATTCCTGTAGGTGTGATGACGTCTTCAGGTGAAAAATATCAGCTCACCATTTTCCATTCGCCTATTTATGACACTTCCGTCGTTGGTGGGACAGAAAAAAAAGTGCCAATTCTTGAGACACCTATAATCCTTGGCAAAGCTAGAGAGACACTGCCTCTATTAATTGAAGTGCATTCTGAAAACGAATGATATGTTTGGAATTTTGTGCCGTTTGTTTGAAAAAAAAAATAATAATAAAAGAACCAGTATTTGTTTGGCAGAGGAATGTTCTGAGTGTAATAAGGCAAAGACGCGTTACGGGTGGGACAAATTCAATTTTCTCCGTTAGGTGTGTCCCAGAAAAATGCTTCAAACAATGCAACAATACTGATAGAATTGCTCTGCCGTGACTCATTGATGTTTCAAATTTCGCCAAGATGGATTCATTACTGCCAGAGTCAAGGAATTTTAAAGTCTGAAGACGCGCAATCGCTCCAGTTTGGCCCGATCCATCGGTGTTTTGGAGCGCTTAGTGTTTCGGTCCACCCGAGCCCAAGAGGAGTGAGATCTATGGGGTCCTACCCGATTCTTTCCACGAGTCGGTGAAGTCTTTTAATTTTATTTAAGTCGATATCATATTTACATCCTCTCGGAAGGGTTAAGGACAGATTCCCCAAAGATCAAAAGGCGTTTGCGGAAGTTTGAGGCAACGTGCCGAGCAGATCGGAAAGTCTCGTGCAGGTGGGAAGATGGAATAGACTTCCTCGGCAAGGGGAACCACTCTCTCCCCATGCAATATGCAAGAATTGCCGAGAGTCTTCTCGAGGTTACGTCTCTCAAGAAATGAACCAATTGGAACGACTTCCTTCCTTCGACTCGTACGTGGGAAATTATCGGGTAGAGAATGAGAGCTTCTGCAGAGGAATTCATTGGCATCAAGGAAATCAGGAGACACACCCCACGTACAGTAGTGAGTTCGTCGCCACCTCGCTTATATCGTGGGAACTTCGTGTTTATCGAATGAACCGCTAGATGTCAGGCCAGACGGAGGGCTTCCACGAGACGGGGACTTCGTCCAAGGATATCCTCGGAAGTTCCTTTGCCGAACGTCCAATGGATGTCCAAAGACGAACCGACACATCGTTTCGTTCATTATGGCCGAACCCTATATGAAATAATGCACCGGTGAAAGGATGACATCACACTGTCCATATAATGATTGGAGTTACTGGATTTTGACCTTAGATGAGACATTTGAATTAAAAAGTAGAATCACAAAAATCCCACGATCGGATGTTCGTAACGTCATTCCAAAAAAACATCATTCAATAAAATGGAAATAATTAAGTGTTGGATGTAGGGAAATTCCGGTCGGATAAAGCCGAAAATGCATGAAGAGATATGGGATCCATGGCTATGACGTCCTATGTACATCCGGAGGACGACTGCTTCTGGACTCATACCCATCTCTGGACAACTGGACTGTCCATAGAAGGGTTTTGGATCACCCATGGCTATTTAGGGTGAACGTCTTGTTAGTTCGTTACCATAGTAGTCAAAACCCACCGTACTTCAATTTAAATATGAGATATGCATAATTGGATATTGAACTTATATCATATGGATCTATCAATCCATATGATATAAGTTCATTCGCGTATGTATTTTGTCAGCGTAAAACGTACACATTCCATTATCGTTGGGAAAAAAATATGACATGTTATCGAGAGATAAGGCGACCGAGGGGTTTCTTAGCTCATCGTTGCTGAGATTAGAGCGAGACCGAATAAGGTAGAGATTAAATTCCTGGAAAATGGTATCGACAAAGACGGTTTCCGCCGGTTCCCATCATCCGGCCGCAACGGCGAGTATTCCATCTCCTCCTCGTCCGAAGCGAGTTCCCAGCGACGTCACCGAGAACGGGTTTTATCGTAGGGCATATTATTGGGCAAGGAACCCAACAATAAGAGGACTATTGCTTCCAGTAGAGGATTTTCACACGGCACCCAACTATCAATGATTTTTATTCACTCCCACGTGTTAAAATATACTGTTGCACGAGGAGAGCCTAGAGCCTCGGTTTTCATTTCATCGCAGCCCGCGAAAAATGCACACGAATGCAAAGCGGACGCGATACATCCAAGCAAATTTTCAATACGAAATCATGAGTCGAATGCGTGATCTCCAGATCTCCACGTCGACCCTTCATCCCGATGCAACGATGCATTCGGTGCCCCACCGTCGAGGCATTCCAGGCCCAGGCCTACCCCACCGCCAAGGGTTCTCACTCTCCTCTTCCCTCCTCGTGTGCTCTCGTTTCGGTGTTCCTCGTCAGATAGAAGGACTTGGGCACTTTTCCGCCTTTCCCGATCTGCGCAACGGGTTTTGGAAAACGTGCTTATTTCCAAGGTAAAACAGTAAGCCTTTTTTCGGGGGGGGGGGGGACAGATTTTGCTTTAATTGATTTGCTGGAAATTTTCCTTTAAATATTTACGTTACATGATTAAACTCATATTTGTGTTGGTTTGAGCTAAAATTATCATCTCATCAAAACGGAAATAAGTTTCAGTCATATGATTCTGATTACGCAAAATTATCGTGCAGTCGACCACATTAGTGATGACTTTAATATCGGTAGAGCACGTACCAGTGACGAACACCTCGGATCCCCGTTTCCGTCTACCCTGGTCCCGCCCCAGAACTTGGGCAGAACGTCTCTCGGTATGAAACGAGTCAAGACGGACGCATATTGCTCCTCCGACCCCAGGCAGACGATCTTGTCCAGCGTCGCCTGCCGCAGGATCGGCTTCACCACCCCCAGCATCATCGTAAAGAACCGCGGCACTGGTCGAGACGATCCCCTCGTTCACAGCAAATCATCAATTTTCGTGAAAAAAAAAAACTGGCACGGACGCGACTCCATCTTACTGTTGAGTATGTAGACGCGCTTGAGGTGATCTGGGTAGTTGGCTTCCTGCATCTGCACCAAGCTCATCGCCAACTGCACCACTGATGAATCGTTTCGATCGACAGAATTATCACCGACAGACATTCGATCTCAAGAATGATAAACTTGTAATATTTTATTGCTATTTATTCATCACTAATTGCACTTACTAATTAATATTAAATTAAGACATCGCTAAATTTCAATCGTTAAAGTCATTCTCGTAATATATCTAAATCAAAAGTGCAAAGTTATTCTAGAGAGAGCTCAATTTCAAGAGTGAGTTTTCGAACATTTTGATAATTTCAACTGAAGACGTCATTGCTTAAAGTTTGGCTGTTTTGAAGAGAATGACAAAAGAGCTGTCTCAGATTTCGCCAAATTGCAAACCTTACTTCCGGAAACTGACGGAAATAAAGATGACTAAGTGCCTAGCAAATAGATATCTACGAATCCGAATCACTGTTATCCAGAAGTACATAGGTCAGTGAAACGAAAACGCGACTTTTTTTCTTGCAGTGAGTGTAATATTTCTCAAAAGTTTATCCCACCATTTTTGAGGCACAGATTCCAACGCTTCGCAATACTGTTTATACCAACCTCATAAAACGTTTGCGGTTCCTGTTCGAACCGCCTCCTGCACTTCATCGTCCGCGTGCCGACGCTATGCCATGCTGGACGCGGATTATGGCCTGAATTAAGGTGGTACGGGAAGGAAAAGGGTCTGGGATTCAAAATTTTATCCGTAATTCTTATGTAGGGGGTCTCAAAAAAACCCAGAAAGCACATTCTTACCTCCCTATCACTTTTACTTAAGCCATAAGTCTTGTCCAAAGTTCCCGGTAGATGGCAATCGAAGAGCAATGTTTGAAGGCAGCATAGCATCCGAACCACTCGACGGATCTCCTTGAAACTTTCATCATTACAAAGCCCGGAAAGTTCTCTACAACATGAAGTCGAGCTGAACGCCGAGACTCTCACGTCAAAGGTCAGGCGAATTTTTTTCTTCGAGCTATGGATTTTCGTCAATTAGTTTTTCCGCCGTCGTTTCGAGAAGAGATTCATTTCAGAGAAAAGCATACATCAGATTTTGGGGAACACCCATCTCCATCCCCACGCCAAGTTTCGTGAGAATCGTTCAA